TCGTGATACATATCGTATCGTGGCTCAAATATCGGGATACGTATCGATATAGAAAAAGTTGTATCGTCCCAGCCCTAGTATTAACACCATACACGATCAGCCTCTGGGAAAATCTTAGTCCCTCCCCTCACCAGAGAAAACTGTTCGGTTAAAAATATCAGCCTTTAAAACTGGTCGCTGAAGAGGCTACTAGTTCTAAAATGGTAGTGGCCCATACTGATTTTTAACAGCTGGTATTACAGGCACTTGTTTTGGTAATAAATTTTTCAACCCATAGTATGATGATAACACAAGGTATCCAAATCCATATTACATTGAGTACCCCCCCTCCCCCCCCTTCCCCAAAATTGAACTTATTTACACTTTCAGAGGAAATGCACTGGCAAACTGTTTATTACCATTGTCCTCTACGATAATTTATCTACACAACTATCTATGACATGTTTGTCTTATTTATTAATTTTCTTTTATTTCCGTAAACAGTGTCAAAACTCTGCTCGCCGAGTGCAAAAGTCGACTTTCTTGTCTAGTCTAACTTTCAAGATAAATTTGTTGTAAAGTAAATAAAACTAATCTTTTAGTATATAATATAATTAAAACTAATTTGATATTGTATATTTAACAAGTAATCAAAACTAATTATATAAAAATATATATATATATTGTATACGCAGCTAGGTTTAGGACTCCCATACTTACATCAGCCTATATGCAGAGCTTCTGGAAATCGATTATGACGTCACAATGAAACTGAACAAATAAATCCTAAATACTAATGTTTTCTTTTTCATACACACTCAAATACAGTCTTTTCTCATAACATGATAAATATTGTAAACATAAATTGATGTGTAACTTATCATGTCATAATAACACTATTTGAATGTAGAATTTAAGCCATCTTGACCTTCCTGCACTGACTAAGATGACGTCACACCCTAGTTTGACAGACAGTTTCTCTGTACTTGAGGCGTAGATCAAGCTATTATTGTAGCCTGTAAATATCAAATTAAAATAAGTGTGATCTGACCAAAACTAAGTCATATTTTTGAATGTATTAATCAATATTTTATAGTCTAATTAGGCCTAAAAAAAAATTGTTTGCTTCCTGTAACATTCCCAAAAAATCAAGGGTCGGTAGGTCGGGATTTTTTTTTTTTTTTTTTTTTTTGCTTATGGATAAAAGGGTCAAACATCCCCAGACTGAATTAACCAGGTGTTATATTTAAAGTGGACACCCAAAATGGCTGCTTAGCGGCAGAGAACGAAATTCTAAAAGTTGTGGGTGGAAATTGTTGTTACAATAATGATTACTCTTTATATTCAAGGTAAATGTTGACTAGGATGACATATTTTATATCTCAAATAAAGCTACAATTAATATTTTTTGAATAAATGGAATCAGCTGATCGATCGAACCAAAGAGCAAATGCAGATTTGGCAGAAAAAAAAAATCCACCGGGGGATAATTTGAATGGGTCGGTCGGGTTACAGGAAACAAACTTATTTTTTTTTTAGGCCTTAAATTGAAAATGTGTAGACCTCATATAAAGCCACAGTAAGGCACATTTATACATTAACTATCTAGAATAACAGGCACAGCCCCTCGAAAATCTCAAAAGTTCAACGATATCTGCTTCACTATAATTTATGAATTTTTATACGCCCGTCTTTAGACGGAACGTATTATGTTATGGCGTTCATGTCCGTCTGTCTGTCTGTCTGTTAGCCTTTCTCGTGTCCGGCTCATAACTTTAATACTATTAGGCCTAGGATTATCAAACTTTGTCAGCTGATACTTCTTTGGTAGAAGGTGTGTCACGCACTAAAAGTAGGTCGTTCTGACCTTTAATTAAGATGCTATGGCCAAATATGGAAAAATCCTGTCCGGCTCATAACTAGAAAACTATTAGACTTATAATCATCAAACTTGGCCAGTTTATGCATCTTAGGTAGAAAGTGTGTCGCGACCTATTTCAAGGTCACTGTGACCTTTAATTTAAGTGAAATTTTAAAAAAAAAAAACTGTCTTTTTACTATTAAATTACACAATCCCAAAAAATGTAGAAGTGTTGCAGTATCCTTATTAAAAAGATGTTAAAATCAAGAAATACTTATTTTTTTCATTATATACTTTACAGCAATCTATAACAAATATAATGTTACAAGAGAAATTCCACCTCTCCCATGGGTGTAATTATCAAGCACTGGTCAAGGAGAATTTTGATAACAGAAAATTGCATGTCAAATTAGCGAGAAATTAGTTTAGTGTGAGGAGCTAACTGGTAGAGCATCTCTGATCAAGCAGGTGTTATCTATATCTCTTGGGAATTGGGCAGAGGAATCAGCCATGTTGGATTAAATAGTTTTTTGTGGGCTAGCCTAACTTTTAAAATGAATTTGGTGAAAAGTAATTAAAACTAATTTGATACAATAATTGTATAATAAACTAATTTGATATTGTATAATAAACTAGTAGATAGTCCCTACAAATCTAAGAGTCAAGCAAAAACCTTATTAAAAATGTTGGATCAAGATTACAATTTTTTTTTCTTTTTATAAATCTTTGTAACAAATTGAAAAAAAAAAATCTTTGTTTTCAACTTTAATTTCAGAATGACATAAATATTTATTTTAATTGCACTACAAAGCAGATAGCACAGATCCATTCATCCTTTGGGAGTAATGAGTGGACATGCATCCAGTTAAAGATTAATTAATGAGTTCAGTGTAGGAAGGCTAGCTGTTCTCAATCATTTCTGTTAGAGCATCTCTGATCAAGCAGTTCTTATCTGTATCCTTTGGGAATTAGACAGAAGAACTGCTGGTCAGTTTATAGCATATGTCATTTGATGGCCAGTCTTTTATTTTAAAATTAAATTGGTATAGATTAAGTTGTTAAGACTAAATTGATTTTGTTTAATATGATATTTTTATTTAATATTTTGAAAATATCAACTAGTAAATTTCAGAGCATCATGTCTCACAAATATGAAAGATGTGTGTGTGTGTCACTGTGTGTGTGTGTGTGTGTGTGGGGGGGGGGGGGGTGCAGATGGGCATTTGTCAAGCTCTAACACTACCAGTTGAGGATCTATAATGTAATATTTGTTATAATGCCTACACCACAGGAAATGTATAAACAAAAATTGTAAGAAATGGAAAAATCTTGGAAATCCTTGTATCAAGGTTGACTTTATTTTCTTGCACTCTAAACTGTTCGTGATAATTGAACAATATTTGACGGGTGTATATCATGCTGGGGCACTTTATTATACAAAGGTAGTAACATCCCTACTACTTTGAAAAGTGCCAGGAGCTGGTTGTGCGCTGTTGCTTTTTTCCGTATTTTACCATTATTTCAATGCATATTATGTCAATGTAGGAAGTTTATCAAAAATTTTACATAATTCTCAGGCATGGGGAAGTTGCTCCCAGCATTTTTCAGGTTAAGGAATTTGTCTTAAAGAAAACAAAATTAATTTCATAGTGAAAAGATATCCGTATATCGTTGTACTTTATGATCTTTGTAGCCATACATATTTTTTGTAATTTTAAACATGTCACTTGACAAACAGCTGATGTAAGTAAAGTTGCTTTGGCCGAACTCGGCAAAGACCTCATATATATGAGGGTTGTCCCAGAAAACACAAACTTTTTGTATATTTCAGAAACTATTTGACCAGAACTAATAATTTTTTGCAAGTTGTTGGAAAATGATATTTTCAGTATTATGACAAAATATTTTAGGCTTGTGATGTCATTAATATGTAAAAACGGCATTTAAAGGGTGTTAAATATCGGTGGTCTGCACACTGCAGTTTATTGACTTTTATAAGTAGCATTGTCAATGAATTTTTCCTTATTACCAGGCTATACGGAAATATAATGTCACAAACTTTACCTCCATAAATACTCTTTGATCTAGCTGATATACTTGTGTATGAAAATTCATTAATTTGATATCATTAATGACAAATATATGACGTTATATGCCAGAACACTTTTAATTAGATATTGTTAAAAATGGTGACGTTTAATGATAATTTGGAGCACAAATTATTAAGCAGCACTGTCTTTAAAACGGGATAGGACTCTTGCCCATACGATGAAAGAGATATTAGTGCTGGAAGAGACATTTTGTAGACCAAAAGAAATGAAGACAATGAAGACAGACTGAAAGTCCTGAGCTTTACGTCATAAGCCTAAGCCAAGGCCATCGTTAAACAATGTGAACTGTTAGGTTTATTATCGGAATTGAGAAATTGTCTATTGAAAGAATTAATTCCACAATCTTTTAGCAACACACGCCGTATTTGAGATGCATTACTTGGTAAATAAAATAAAATTAAATACTGTGCCGAATTTATGCTTAAATAAACTAATTTTATCAGAAGCACATTTCCAGAAAAAATTCACAAAAATGTTGATCATGATCTATGCCTATTTTTAACTTTACAGTATTAGTGAAACAAAAGATATTGAAAATGTTCACGTATTTCTGGGACAACCCTCCTACATATGCAAATAGTAGAATTCCCATTAATCAAAACTCATGCTGTAAAAAAAAAATCAACACTATATTTATTTTCTCGGAATATTTTTAGGCGTATTATTTCCTGTGGGCATCCTTAACCTTGCTGCGTTATATTTTTTATTTGGATATTTATATCTTTACAACAAATTGCAGAGTGTCATGTCTCACTAGGATGACAATTTTTTAGAGTAAAGAATAACATAATTTTCTTGCACTCTAAAATGTGTACGATAATTGAACAATATCATACAGTGGCAGGGATTTTTATTACTCTTGCAAATTGTATGAAACAAAAATTATTTTTGGAAAAATACATTGTGATTCATATATTGTGACTACTATATTGTGATTGTTGCATAAAACCTGTATTGTTCCTGCAGTCCTAATATTTCATCATATATGTTATTACGTTTATATGTAACTTTAAACTTTTTATTTATGGTTTTCATTATCATTTTACAAGCATTGATGCATCTGACAGCTTCCAAAGGCTTGGAAAGTAGGTTAATGATGCAGCTATAGACAACCCCATCTTATGCATGTTATGAGAAGTTAAAAGTGTTTAACAACTACTCCAGGCTTTTTCTTTGCAAGAAGGGATATTGATAGAGGGAAGGAGATCAGATATGACTATGGTGATCCCATGCCCAATGGACAATCTTCCTTGGAGTTCATCACTCATCAGGTAAATATTTAGAATAATGGATTTTCAAATTTGATACGCTGCATCCTCTTTGTAGTGCTTTTTTTTTTTTCAATGTTCTTGAGAGGTCAAGAGATGAAAAATGTTTTACCCAACAGTGTTCCAAGTCACACTTACTTTCAGGTCACTAAATGAGGACCTAAAAAAAAAATTGGCCACCATTTCAGAATATTTCACTTGCCATAATGAAAATATTTTGTGAATAACAATAGTAAAACAAGGAACTAACACCCTGTATGTTTTATGTCTTTACTAAATCAAAGATGTAAGGTATTACTGTGACTATAAACAATTTGCTAGGTTTAAGGAAATATTTTTATTAGTACAACCACCCTTATGGTTGTACAGTACACAGAGGAACACAAGAAGACTGATCCTAGAATTAAAATTTATTCAAAAGAAAATACCAAGTTTGACACTTATTGAGACAGGACTTTGCCAGCTGTTTGTCATGTTTACTTATTATTACATAGTACGTACCTAACCCATTAAACAGTCATTATTAATGCTGCCAAAACACTTAATTAGTTGTAATATGCAAGCAATTGACCAAATGTTTCAATAACAAGGTCAGGTTCTAAAAAGTTTATGATGTTTGGATGCCATTCTGTCAGGGACGTATAGTATAGGTCCGTGGTTCCATCAAACTGTATAAGTAGTCACTATTAAAGCATGCTGTCATAACATTACGACTTGATGATTAATGATTTTTTTTGCGGACAAACAGACAGATGGATGCACAGGGCAAAAACTATATACCCCCGAATCTACGATTACAAGGGCACTAAAATTGATGTTCAGCAGATGCAAGTTTCTGAAGTTTACATCACGTACATTGAAATATATTAATTTGTGCACTTTTTTTCCAAGAATAGGAAAATAGCAATTGGTGAAAATGATGAATTAATTAAATTGATGGGGAAAAAACAACATCTTTTTGTGATCCATATTTTAGATAAGACCAAAAAAATAGTCTTGTTTCCTGCTACCAGCCTGAAAAAAAAAATAGGGTAGGTAGGTAGGAAAATTATTTTATTGTATATTTTCATTTTATTTTTTTTTTCGACAACATTTTTTGGATATGAACTAATAAAAGATAAAATTAAACATGTCACAGGTCAATATTGTCTTTTAAAATCAAATTTCATGTCTTTTGACTAAACTCAAGTGGTATTCTATGAAAGTCCACATTTAAAACAAGAATTTCATGAAATGCTTGTTTTGTGTTAACACAGAAAACGATTATGGTGACAGAACGATGAAATTCCGGAAATTCGAGATTTTTTTCTTCCAAAATTTAAAAAAAACAAGACTATTATTTTTTTTTGGCCTAAATAAAGTAAATTATTGAAAATAATACCTCTAAGACAAGGTTAGAGTGATTATTATTATTGGATTACAAGATCACCTTGATATGAAATATATGGAGATAACGAACAGTATTCAAGCTCAAAAGTCCATTATACAATACAAAATAGGAGCAGAGCAAACACGGACCTCCAAACATCAGAGGTGGGATCAGGTGCCATGGAGGAGTGAGCATCCCCTGCCAACCGGTCACACCCGCCGTGTGCTCCTTGTCATGATTGGGAAATAACGGAAAAATCCGTCGACAATTCAGTGTGTAAATAATGGTCTAACAATTAGTATGAAAAACGTCAGTCAGCATTTGACTCAATGATAAATTGTATTTGCTGACAAGGTCATTGTATCGACCATAGAACTTACAAAATGATGACTTTAAATGAGACAGCTGATATTTGATTATATGTACAGGATCACCTCTTTGCCTCATGCTATAATAAATATATTTACCTAGGTTACACATATCCTTAAAGGTCTTAGTATTGAACAATTGCAGTAATTTATACGTATGGATGTTTTTTTTAAAAAGAAATAATTTGCATTGATAATCTCGATAAACAGGACATACTAGTAGAATGTGATATTCATCCTCGACACAAGTATGACACAAAAAAACATTTCCAATGGGATCTGTTTGCTTTATTATATCCAGTTTCAATAGCTAAAAGGTGTGAAGATAATCTTAACTTTGATATACATTTTTGAAACTTAGTCAGAATTGAATTTCTTAAATAATACGGTAGGTAAAACCCATCAAGTAGATATTTATAGAAAGAACATTTCTGCGAACTTTGAAGTTTAGTATATTTCTTGTTTAGCCTGATCCAAGATCCTTTGATAAATTGTCATAATGGTCCTTACAATTAGGGTCTACCTAATAGGACTTCTCAGTTGATTGTACAATTTACACCTGGGTGACCATTGCCCTTGCTGTTTAGTGTTATATAAAAAAACAATTAGTTTATTTGATATTTTTTATTAATTTATTTTATGTTAAGAACATTTATTTAATAGCATGTTAAATTTCTATTCAAAATGCATTGAAATAGCATACATTAAAGGTATCTGAATGTAGTTGTAGGCATAAATATAATCACAATTAATTTTGTTTTGCACATATATTATAGGAAGCATTTTGGAGGCAAACCCTGTTGCAGCATTTCTACATGTTCCACAGATTGTACAGACTAGTCAGGACCTTGTAAATTCACATGTTCAACAGCTTAGGCAATTTAGTACAGGTATGTGTAACTCTTCTGAAATATAGGAGGAAATTTCAATACAAGACTTGTAGCATAACTTATATTACATTGTCAGTTCTTCTTTGCATGTTCCTTAGAGTGGATTATTGAGGCAGACCCTGATGGAAAACTTGCACATGTTCCACAAACCAGTGAAGACCATTTTGCAGAATATAAACTTTTTCCGCAGATAAGCCAAGACCCTAATGGTGTTCATGTGTGTGTGGTTAATTATTTGCTCTGAAGCTGATATGTGGATTGAATATAAAACTGTCTTTTTCTACAGTTAAGTCCATCTTAATCTGAAAATACTACCGGTACATTTTGAATTATGCTTTATTATGCAGAAAAAAAATAATTAGTTTCAAATATGAAAAGTCTGTTGATACACTGCTTTGCAATTCCAAAAGTGATAATGTGATAAGTTTTGATGTGAATATGTGACATGTGCCATTATCAATTTTCATAAATAAAATCAAATACAAAGGTCATTCCAATTTAATGTTTTGCTTGTCGGACCCGCACGCTCTTATTTGAACAAAGCTATACAAATAATATTAATTTAAATCTCCTGCACCTGGGAAATTCTGTGCCAGTTTCTGTTTTATTTCTGCTCTATTTTTGATAATTTAAATCTGTTTACTCTACAAATCAGAAAAAAGTAGAAAAAATATAATTGTCACTCAATTTTTTTCATGTTATGCCTAAAAATTTTGCGTACAAAAAAGTAATAATATTATTATTTAATCTCTTGCCCGCTCTTACTTTTTTCACCAGATGTGCGACGAACAAGAAATTAAATTCGTGTGGTGAAATTATGTTTTATTAAAACTCATTTAAAGCTAACTGTCTTATTTTTTGGATTCATGATGTGATCAATCGAGTGGCTTGCGTGATAATTTGCATAAACGCCGAAGGCGTTTATGCATAAAATTATCACGCAAGCCAATCGATTGATCATCGTCATGAATCCAAAAAATCTGATAGTTATTCCTTATATTTACATGCTCCTGATTCTGCAAATTCCCATGCTAATAGCCCCGCTTCTGTCTCTATTTGTCCCGCCCTGCACGTGATTTTTTTTTTAACCGCGCCTATCGATGAACTAGTAAATTTATGTAGAAATAAAATATTTTTACAATTTGTAATTTTATCTCGGACAAAGACATTGGAAATGTAAATATTTATGCAATAAATGATAAATAAAGACTAAACAGTCATGTTCACAAGCCAGAGGTGATAAAATATATATCTATTCTATAGGAAAAAAAGAATTATAAAGTGACATCAATTTTTCAAGTAATGTCTGTCTAGAACCTGTACATCAGATTTCGTATTTTGTGTGATTTTTTGAAGGATTTTTACACTAACAAAGTTAATAAAATCAAATCTTAGTTCTAAAATTTAATAATTTATTTTTAGATTGTCAAAATGCTTGTTAATTATAGTATCAAAGCTTGAATTGTATATCAATATTCTCCAGGAGGTAAATATTTCTATATATTGGTATATTGGTTGTCCCATAGTTTGTGTATAGTTTGTGGGTCATTGTCATATCGGTTCAACCTCTTGGATTGTGGGTCATGGTTATTTATTGTTCTAACATTTTACAATTTTTTTTCTGTAGTTTATTTATGTATTTTTGTATCATTTGTGTATATGCATACATGTATATGTGGTTTGTGGATTACTGTCATATTTACATGCATGTGTCTGTTCATGGTGGATTGTGGGTCACTGTCATAGATTGTTTGTTCTTGCATTTTTCCTGTAGTTTGTTCATGACTTTTTTATGTCTTTGTGTATAGACATTTGTGTATATGCATACATATATATGAAAATGTTCATGGTTTGTTGATCACTGTCATGTAAATAAGTGTTTGTGTCTGTTCATGGGTTGTGGGTCACTGTCATATATTGTTTGTTCTTACATTTTTCCTGTAGTTTGTTCATGACTTTTTGTGTCTTTGAGTTAAGACATTAGTGTATAGGCATACATATATATAAAAATGTTCATAGTTTGTGGATCACTGTCATATATATACATGTATGTGTCTGTTCATGGATTGTGGGTCACTGTCATAGATTGTTTGTTCTATCATGGATTGTAGGTCATTGTCATAGGTTGTTTGTTCTAATATTTTGCCTGTAGTTTGTTCATGACCTTTTTGTGTCTTTGGGTTAAGACAGCTGTGTACATGCATACATATATATGAAAATGTTCATGGTTTGTTGATCACTGTCATATATAAGTGTTTGTGTCTGTTCATGGGTTGTGGGTCACTGTCATAGATTGTTTGTTCTAACATTTTTCCTGTAGTTTGTTCATGACTTTTTGTGTCCTTGAGTTAAGACATTTGTGTATATGCATACATATATATAAAAATGTTCATGGTTTGTTGTTCACTGTCATATATACGTGTATGTGTCTGTTCATGGGTTATGGGTCACTGTCATAGAATGTTTGTTGTAATATTTTACCTGTAGTTTGTTCATGACTTTTTTGTGTCATTGAGTTAAGACAGTTGTGTACATGCATACATATATATGAAAATGTTCATGGTTAGTGGATCACTGTCATATATATATAAGTGTTTGTGTCTGTTCATGGATTGTGGGTCACTGTCATATATTGTTTGTTCCATCATTTTTCCTGTAGTTTGTTCATGACTTTTTGTGTCCTCGAGTAAAGACATTTATGTATATGCATACATATATGAAAAGTTCATAGTTTGTGGATCACTGTCATATATATACATGTATGAGTTTGTTCATGGATTGTGGGTCACTGTCATAGATTGTTTGTTCTATCATGGATTGTAGGTCATTGTCATAGGTTGTCCTAATATTTTGCCTGTAGTTTGTTCATGACTTTTTTGTGTCTTTGAGTTAAGACAGTTGTGTACATGAATACATATATATGAAAATGTTCATGCTTTGTTGAACACTGTCATATATACATGTATGTGTCTGTTCATGGTTTGTGGGTCACTGTCATAGATTGTTTGTTCTAACATTTTTCCTTTATTTTGTTCATGACTTTTTGTGCCTTTGAGTAAAGACATTTGTGTATATGCGTACATATATATAAAAATGTTTATGGTTTGTTGATCACTGTCATATATAAGTGTTTGTGTCTGTTCATGGATTGTGGGTCACTGTCATATATTGTTTGTTCTATCATTTTTCCTGTAGTTTGTTCATGACTTTTTGTGTCCTCGAGTAAAGACATTTATGTATATGCATACATATATGAAAAGTTCATAGTTTGTGGATCACTGTCATTTATATACATGTATGAGTCTGTTCATGGATTGTGGGTCACTGTCATAGATTGTTTGTTCTATCATGGATTGTAGGTCATTGTCGTAGGTTGTTTGTTCTAATATTTTGCCTGTAGTTTGTTCATGACTTTTTTTTGTGTCTTTGAGTTAAGACAGTTGTGTACATGAATACATATATATGAAAATGTTCATGGTTTGTTGATCACTGTCATATATAAGTGTTTGTGTCTGTTCATGGGTTGTGGGTCACTGTCATAGATTGTTTGTTCTAACATTTTTCCTGTAGTTTGTTCATGACTTTTTGTGCCTTTGAGTAAAGACATTTGTGTATATGCATACATATATATGAAAATGTTCATGCTTTGTTGAACACTGTCATATATACATGTATGTGTGTGTTCATGGATTGTGGGTCACTGTCATAGAATGTTTGTTCAAAACATTGTAGAAGTTTGGTTATGGCAGTTCAATTATGCATGTGTTTTTGGTTTCTTGATCACTGAGTAATCATTACTTTCATAGAATGTGATTCACTGTTTTAAGATTTTTTGTTTTAGAATGTGTCTGATTATGGTTTTTGGATCAGTATCAGTTTAAATATATGATATAGATATTTGTCTGTTCGTGTTTGTGGGTCACTGTTGTAAAGTACTTGATTGTGAATACTATTATGTGTGTTTTCCTCACTTTGAGAAATAAATACATAATCTTTAACTGATAAAAGTGTTACCTTATCAGTGTTATCTTACCCCTGCAAATGAAGAGCCTGGGCCTAAAATAATTTTTTTCAGCTGCCTAGTGACCCACTGAAAATGCACCTGACCCAAACTTTTTCCAGCTATTTTGTATTATTTTTTTTAAGCTTCAAGCTTTCAGGATAGTGAAACTGCATGTTTCATTTTCGATTTTTGGTATTATCAATCAGCGACTTATAACAAGAGGAGCTTATGTTAAGTAAGTCTATTTTTGTTAGTTAAAACATATTTGAAAACTACATTTTTTTAGAAAAATAAAAAAAATACCGCCCATTCTAAAAATGTAGGTTGACAACTGCAAACCAAGAATTTTTTAAGCTTGGCCCTGGTATATAGGAATTGCCTTGTCTGTCTGTTTATGTTATGAGGAGGGATTGCCATGTCATGGCCATAACTTTGAAAAAAGCATTTATATGGCTTCTGCTTATATCTTGCACAGAGATGGACATGACCATGGGTTTGTCATGACCTTGACCTGGTATTACTTGAACACAGTCTCCAGAGAAAATATTTTGTGTTATGACTTTTATCAGGTATTATTTAGACAAGGTCACAAGGAGAAAAATGTTGGAATTCTGGTGTGAGCCATAGCTGTATCAGAGAGAAGAATCTAACTAGACACAGAGTTTACTTAAAACCTAATGCTGTGTCAATCAGATCATTTTCATTTGATAAGGGTCGGGGTGGGATGTGATAAACTGTGTGTGGGCCATTTTTGTGTTACAGAAATTTAAGAATCTTATGGACACCATAGTTGCTTGTGATTTGAGGGTTAGTCCTGCACCTGACACGAGTCAACTAGACGTGCAGAACGTCAGTTTGGGGAATTGTATGGGGGTCATCAACTTTTTTCAAATTGTATTTTATTTTACCTTAATATTCTGAATTCTATTGTCTCTATATTTTTTTAGAGATTTTTTTTTGAAAGGGGAAAAATCATGAAATTCAATTGATTTCTTTGACTACTTTAGTTAATTTTCTACTTAGTTAATTAAAGTAGTCAAAGAAATCAATTGAATTTCATGATTTTTTCCCCTTTCAAAAGAAAAAATCTTCAAAAAAATATAGAGACAATAGAATTCAGAATACGGTAGATGTAGGGGTCGAAATGTGACAGAGTATCGCATTTGTCTTAAGGAAAAGGGAGCAATTATGATTTTTCCATACCGTGAAAATTTCTCTCTCTCTCTCATATTCATCTATCTAACTATTGAGAACATGTACGAAACAATGGTTGACTCATTCATTTAAAGAAAAACAAACCTTAGTCCTCAGGGCTCTAATTGGCGACTAATTTAGTCGCCGTGGGGCTTAAAATATTTGATTGACGCCTAAAATTTTCTACAAGTCGCAAAATTGGCGACCATTATAAACTGACTTGGCGATTCTCAAATTTCGGAACTATCAACATTTTCAACCTTTCTTTCTGAAGAGGAGAAAAGATAAT